AGCTCTTCAAGAACAAAGTTAATGCTCTGAACTACAGCGAGATCCTCAAACTGCGGCAGACAGAGCGGCTGCACCAAGAAGAGACTCTTGCTCCGCCCGTGCTGTGAGTGAGAGGACGTTTGCAGATTACATGTGCACCTTTTCTTTCAGCTGCACCCTGCAAAAACAGCTCTTCTAGAAACAAGCCAAATATTCGTAAATATAATCAAATTAGCTTTTATTAAGCAAAAGAATCTGCCAATGGGCTCAAATTCTTAAAACTGGCATAAACATCTAGCCACTGAAAGACCTGGCCTTAAAACTAGAAAAAATGCCCCAAAATTGAACCAAGTGCTTATTACAAGTAATGAAAACAACATTATTTAAGATAAACTTTCTTAAAAAAAAGTATTTTGGTCACTTTATCAAGCTGAATTTAAGAATTTGTACCATAATCTGAGATTAATAATTAGCAAAACACTTTACAATAAGACACAATTTCTTCAAACAGCATCATAAAAATAAATTGCTTTGTCTTAAATTAAGGAACCAGAATCATTCTTATTAATAGCATTTTGTATTAAAACAATGAAAAATTAAACGTTCATTTACAGAACATCCAGGTGTTCATCCATTCCTATACAGTACAGCGACACTTAAGAACTTACATAAAACATACTTTAATCCATGCAACCCCATAACAAATCAGTTATTTATTAGTACATCTTGTGTTTTCCCTCCAGGCTTTTCAACACAATTGCTATTCATTTTTTAAATGTAGAAAAAGTAAAGCAGCTCAGTGTAGCACAACCTGATCAGCTCCTCTATTGACGACTCCAGAGAGTTTCCACCCGCATGGAAGCAGCTGACGGGTCAGCAGCCATACTGTTTACTACGCTACAGTTTGTCACTAAACACTGAGTTTAACAGTGTGTCGCTGCCACATTAAGGGAACATATGGAGTATATAAGTCTGTGAAGGTGACACCACCGAGCTGTGAACCCCCATTTAATTTCTCATTGTATTTATCATGAAGTGAATACTGGTTATTGTCCTGGCAATAATAATGGGTTTTATTGTGCCTGTTATGTCTGTGTTCTGTTATTGTCTTTACTTCCATTTGGTTGTAAGTTTGCAACCATGTCAGCAAAACAAAGAGGTCATCAGGGTTCCCATGCATCCTGGAAAACCTGGAGGTTTAGAGACTAGTTTTCCAATCATGGAAACACCTGGAAATTTATGAGAATTACTAAAATCCTGGAAATAATTTATTGTATTTTACCTCCTCACTCGTATCGCCACCTTTTCTGTAAATCAATTAATTCTATTTGATTTGAACTTAAGGGCTGTGGCCATAATGTTATGGTGAGAGGAAAACTAGTAAACAATTTGCCAGAGACTACAGTGGAAAAATCGGCTGTGGTGAGAACAGGCAAGCACGCCACGAAGGCGAGCTAATGCAGAGTGTCCCACATAAAACACTGACCACCTACCTGTGATTAACGTCTGCATCGTTAAAAAATAAGTCAATACAAGGCCTACTGGTAAATAATATGACTATTTGGGAGCAAGTGCTGTCTTGTATTGTCAATAAAAACTCCTGGAAAATAATTTCCCCTGGGTCATGCTACAGCCATGTGACAAACCATCTTTAAAGCATTTCCTTGAAGGGTGTGTGTTTCTCTTTGCAGCGAGCTCAAAGAGCGCCTGAAGCCAGAGCTGCTGGAGTTGATCCGCCAGCAGAGACTCAACAGGCTGTGTCAAGGAACTATGTTCAGGAAGATCAGCAGCCGACGCAGACAGGGTGAGAGAGCACACACACACACACACACACACACACCCTTAGAAGAGTGTGCGTCCTGATCGGCTAACCTCTGGGTCTGATTCTCTTAGATAAACTGTGGTACTGCCGCTTGTCACCCAATCACAAAATGCTTCACTACGGCGACGTGGAGGAAGACTTGGACAGTCCACCAATTGAAACGCTGCAGGAGAAGAGTGAGTTGAATGGAAAGATTCACAACTAGATGAAGCCGACAAAAACTGAAACTTAGCTGGAGCTCTGATTTATTTATTTGAATGAAATTATCTTTTTTCCCCTCCTTCCTCAGTTGTTTAGCTCTTATCAGGTTAATCTCTGAGCTGAAAAAGAAAAAAAGAGAAGAGGAGAAGCAGGAGGAATCTGGAAAACTTTAATAATTGCTAATAACCTAATTCCTACAATACAATTTAAGCTTGTTTGGAAAGAAAATAAATTATCCAATTGTTCTATCTGGAAAAAATTTATTGCATTCCAGAAATTCAGATTTTTCATATTGAACTGTTGAATAATTTCAGACATGAGAGGCATGGCGTTTGATGTTGGGAAACAAAATAATAAACTATCATGCAACTGCTGTAAAGAAGTCACTGAAGCATCTTCTGCTGAGGAGGGATGAGCAGATGTTTTCATCAGTGTGTTTTATCTCCCCATCAGTGGACTGAGGACATAACAGTCGTAAGAACATAAGAACATAAGAACATTTGGTTTAAGGCCACAGAATAAACAAGAGAGGCAGATTTTATTTTTTTTTTCTGACCTTTGGAGTCTTAAAAGAACAAAAA